GCCCACCTCTCGCCTCTGCACCTCATCTTCTGCCAGGCATGGAGGAGCCCAGCTCGCCCAGGCTTCTTGCCTCCTGCTGCCTTGGCCCTCTGGTGCACAGGTGAGTCCCCAAAGTTTGACTCTTCTTCTACAAGTCTCTGGTGCTGGAGGTATTCGCCTCCTTCCCTCCTGCCTGCTATGGCTGCATAATTGTGAGAGATTTCTTAAGATAGTGTTCCTGCCAGGGAAGCTGGGGACCCTGCCCATGAGTCTCCATTTCATCCTCACAACAACCCTGTGGGGTAGGTTAGGTAGAGAAGGGGAGTGAGAATACAAACCTGGGTCTCCCCACATCAATCTGCAACTCTGACCACTGTTCAGTGCTGCCTCGACTGATCTGTAATGTTCCAGAGGTGTTGTAATGTAATACTCAGTTTCGCCTGTGATCCTCCCCCTCCCCTTTGTCCGACTTGGAGGCGAAGGGAAGGGAGAGGGGGGAAAGAATGGCTCCCAGGTGCTTCTGCCTGTCAGAGGAGCTGGTGCACACTTCCGGTGATGTCAGGGGGTGTGGCATATGCTAATAAGTTATGCTAATGAGCTCCTGCAGCTCTTTTTCTACGAAATGACCCCTGATACTGGGAAAGGAAATGAAAAATAAAAGTACATTCTGTCTATCAGCCATTGTAAAAGAGCACACCAGTGAGATAGGCTGTTGACCACCCTGGCAATGTCTAATTCTTAATGCACCACATACCAGATCAGTAGGTCTGATGTTAGATACCAAACGTAACTTCGGAATATATAGCTGGGGGAGTGTGGGGAAGATTTAGGGCTTACATCAGGGTTCACAAATTGTTAGTTGTGTGATCCAAAAATAGTGCACAACTTTGTCACAGTTGAGTCATGAGGCTCCTGAGCTGGGAAAGGAGCCTCTGGGCACCCCACTTCCCAGTGACACAAAAAGGGCCTTATTTTTCAGGGGTGTGGGAGGTTAGGGTTGCCAACTCTGGATTGGGGAATTCCTGGAGTTTTGGGGGTGGAACCTGGGGAAGGGGAGGGATCTCAGTGGGGTATAATGCCATACAGTTCACCTTCCAAAGCAGCCATTTTCTCCAGGGGAACTGATCTCTCACTTGGAGAGCAGTTGTAATTCCGGAAGATGTCCAGGGCTACCTGAAGGTTGGCATTCTAATGGGGGGGGGATGTCTGCTGTCCATGTCCACTGCAGCCTATGCTTCCAGACTTGCACTGCTGGGCTGAGCCTGAGCAGAACCCTGGACAGTGGTGCTGCCAGGATGCTGAGGCTTTGCTTTTCCTGACCAGTAGCAGCAGGGGAGGCAGTGGATGCAACCTTTACCCATTATTTCCTGGACTCACAGTAGCTGCAGGCTGAGCCCTTGGCCTGCAGTGCTGAAGGGGTGGGCCTCAAAAGGTAAATTAAGTTTAAACATGTCCCTTTTCAAAAAAATTGAGAACCACTGGCTTAGATTAATTTTAAGTGGGCAAGAGAGGGGTTGTGGAATATGTTGAAGTAGGAGCATTAGCTGATACAGTATCCACAAAATTAGGACCAGAAACGATCCCTTTGCAACTATGCAGAATTGCCAAAATCATCATTAACTTCAAACGCATGACTAACAACAAGGCACAGCCCATAAAACATGAAATGTGGTAAGTTTGGGTTTAAAGAAGAGTATTTGTAAAAATTGGTATTTGCTAGAGAGTATTCTCTTATGTGATAAGAAACCCATGATTGCTTTTTAGGAGAATGAAGAATCTGAGGGAATATCTAGACCATAGTAACACACATAAAAGTGTGTTAGTCATCAAAGAGTTTTACCAGGCACTAATCCTCCCCAGAGACATTCTACCTGTGGAAATTATAATTGTTGTAAGTTAACATGCAGTATGAAATATTCATCAGTCCTTTAGAATATATGCTAAAGGTTTTTACAACATGTAACTCTACAAAGGAGACAGAGAGAGAGAGACAGAGAATCCAGTGCCCCTGTAATAAATTTTATGTTGGAAAATCAACAAAAAGAAGCAAATTGAGACTTTCTGACCCGGACTCCTAAAGGGTTAAATTTGTTTCTGGCATTGCATCAGTGCTAAGGTCCCTCCACTGGCAATTGCTCGTGATCTTGTACACACTGGAAGACTAACAGGTTTGTAACCTTCCTCTAGGCAGAAGAAAGATTCTTTTAAAATTGAGCCAAAACTGATGGGTACTGGGCAGTTATCTTATCTCTCTTACATCGGGGGAGTTTATCTCTCTCC